ATATGTTTTGTTTAAAAAAAAAAGTTACATTTATAAAAAAAAAAAAAAAAAAAGAAAACATAAATATACAAAATTTATTATATTCATATTAGAATTGATTTGAAATATGTTAGTATTAATAATTCTTTTTTTATAATTTAAATGTAGCTCTTTTATTTTTCTTTGTTTATATAATTTCATAATTTAATGTAATCTCTAAAGTCCTAAAGAAAAACAAATATGTTAATGAGTATGTACTTTTAATTTTACATTTGAAGTAAGAAATTTACTAAACATTTTTTTTAGATACATAAATCGTTTTTAAAAACTATTATTATATATTTTCAATGTAATATCTGTCGAAAAATTATAAATTAATTATGAATATTCATACAACATATATATTTTTATGAAAACAAATAAAGTAAAATGTATATTATAATTAAAAGCAAAATAAGAATATATTTAAATAAAGAGATTTATAACAATAATGTTTAATATATAAAATGTGGTTTTGTTCTTTAACTTTGTCTTATTTTTCTCAACATTAGAAATTTAACACATTTTTTCTGTAATGACTTACTTTTTTTTTTCTTCAATTTGATTTTATAAAAATTTTGATTGCTCTTAGAATTGAAATTTCATATATTTCCTTTATTATTTATGATTTAATTATTTTTTTAGAGAATATATTATCCATAAATATAAACATATTATTTTTATTAAAAAAACAGTATTTTACATTATCATACAAAAAAAAAAAAAAAAAGTAATTTATTATAATATTAATAAAAAAGAGTTTTTCTATAAAATAATTATCATAATTAAAAAAGTTATAAGCGTTACAAAGGATTTATAATTTTTTTTTTTTTTTCTAATTTTTGTTAATTATATATATATATATATATATATATATATAATGATGATAAGTTATATTAAAAATTATAGTAATTCTGTATCTTAACTTTATGAAGTGGTAATATAATTATTTATCCTTTTATTTTTTTTTTTGTTTGCAGTCTTTTACTAATAATAAAGGAGAATTTTTAAAATTAATCTTTGGTTTAATTAAAAAGAGATAAATGGAAAATAAAAAAAGATATATTTTCATTTTTAAAATGAGAATTTCTTTTTTTTAATAAAAAAAATATAAAAAATGTATTTTTAATGTAACATTATTCATTTATTAATTTCATATATAATTGTATGTTAACACAAAATGAAAAATAAAAACTATAAAAAGACATATAATATGAACAGTTCATAATTATTTCATTAATTTTTTTTTTTTTAAAGGCTTGTAAATAGTGTAAACTGTTACAATATTTCTGTGAAATAAAAAAAAAACATATTATATGAAAGCGTAATAAAATATGATTTATAAAATGAACATGAAATAAAAAAAAAAAAATAAATAAAATAAAATAATTTCTCAAGTACAAATTTTATTTTTATACTAAAATTAGAGGTTAAAATTAACATTTTAATTTTTATATTGAGAAAAATAAATGTTAGAAAAAATTTAAGCGTAAAGCAACACTATATTACAAAAAAAAAAAAAAAAAATTGTTATTTAACTTAAATGTTTTTCGTGATTTTTTTTTAAATTCTTGAATTTTAATTATTCTTCCCATGTTATATTTTTTTTTTGAATTTATATAAACTAAGATTTTTGTTTTATGTTCAATAGCTCTACATAAATTATGCTTACTTTTTTTAGTAATAAGGTTAAATTTAAAAAATTTTTGAAAAAGGAAAAGTCAAATTATTATTATTAATTGTGGAGCACATATTTTAAAATATTTAGGTTACTATAACCATATTAATTTTTTTTTTTTTTTGTTTATAAATATGTATATATAAATGTACACATATAATTATTTTTATTTATATTTTTATTATGAAAATAGTTTTTTCTTATAATAAAAAAAGATAATTACTTTAATTAGTAGGAATCTTGAAAAAAAAAAAAACCTATAAAATATATTAAATATTTTTTTTTTCCGTATAATCAAATTAGTTTGCTTAAATATTATACAACACATTTCATGAAAATATGTGAAATACATTTTTAAATTACCATATGAAAAATTAACAGGAAAATTGATTTAGTGTTAAAATCATGAAGTTCATTTTATATAGATAAAAATTTCCATTATGATAATATATATTATTTTTAAATGATGAAAAAAATGACCATTTTTTTTTTTTAAGATATAATATGTTTTTTACTTCATTATATATATATTTATATATATTATTATAAATTTTAAAAATTCTATCCCGTTTACCGCTTTCTCTTTACATATTTACTTTTTTTTCGATAATTATTTACTCTAACCTTTTATTGTGTTTTTTTTTTTTTTTTTTTTACGTATTTTTTTTTATTAGTGTGTGTGTGTGTATATATATATGTGTGTGCGTGTATATGTGTGTGTGCGTGTGGATGAACTTTCATATATACATATTTAAATTTATAAATTTATATACTTTTATAAATTTTAAAGCTTTCGATATATGAGTTTATTCTATTGACCCATTTTAAAAAAAATGAGTAATGATAAATGGGATAAAATATATGTCTATAATCACGGAAGTATAAATAAATCATTTAAGAATAACAGCTATAATTATCATAACAAAAACGTAATTGACTTAAAAATAAAAGAAAAAAGTGACCTATATACAAATCCATTATTTCAAAATACCAAAGATAAAAACGAAATGGTTAATATAAAGAAAAATGAAGTAAAAAATGGAGTAGGTGAAATAAATAAAGATAATGAATTTCATTTAAAAAAATTATATACAAATCAATTAATTGAATTAAAAAAAATAGATTCATATATGATCAATAGCTCAAATAAAGGAACTACAAACAAAATTGAATTATTTCCTACAATGAAATTTAATGATTATAAAATAAAAAATAATGAAACATTAGACGTAAATAACAAAATTGATCCAGTATATTCCTGTTCTTTAAAAAAGAATAATGTAAGTTTAGATAAAAATTCAGAGAAATGTTTTTCTACCCATGAAAATTTATTCAATGACGTAAATTTTGCTAATTATTCATGCATAGTAAAAAGTAATAATGCAAATATTTTATTACCAGATAATATACTATGCTTAAGTGGTATAAAAAACGAGAATAATAGTAATTTGAATTTTAACAATAATGAAAAAATTTATAATTTTATTAAAAATACAAATGATATAAAGGTACATAAAACAGAAAATAACAATTTGAGAAACTCAATTATTAATAAAGATAATGAGTTATTTACAGCCAATAGCAGAACAAAGTTACATAAAAATATAGAAACATCATGTAATGAAAATACCAATATGTTTTTAAGCAAAAATAAAAATGATTTATTAAGTAGTTATTTTTTAATGGATAATTCTACAAGTTGCTGTAAAAATTATATATCTAATGAGACTAAGAAAGAAAATAATTTTAATGAAAAATATATTAATTCCATAATAAATAAAGAGTCAATTATTCATCAAGACGATTATTCAGAATTTAGGAGAATATATAATGATGAACAAAATATAGAGAAAGGTAACATAAACATAAGTAAATTAATTCATTCTTATAAAGAATATCAAAAAAAGAAACAAGAAGAAAATAACATTGAAAATATGTTTAAACTGGACAATAATAGTAAAAATATATATAATTTAAAAAATGAAAATAAATTTAATAAAAAAAATAAAAATATAGATAAAAATAATATTAATAAATATAGTAATATACATAAGTATTCATATGATAATGTTAAAGTGGGTAATGGTATAATACAGAATGAAATAGAAAAAAAAAGTTGTACTACAACGGAACATTCAAATGAAATTTTAGATCTTCAAAAAAGTGAAAGAAATTTATTTGATAATTCATTGCATAAATATGTGAGTAAATCCAGTCCTCAAGATTCAAATAATAGTTTATTTTTTAATAAAAAACATGATAAAAAAAAAAAAAAAAAAAAAAAAAAAAAAGGATATGGAAGAAGATAGTAAAAATAATTTTAATGATAAAAAGAAAGTAAAAAATCCAAATGATTCTCTAAAATGTACACTCTTAAATGATTCATATATGCATATAATAAACGATAATGATTACATATGTGAAAATAAAAAAAATGAAAACAAAAAATATACTCATATTGATAAAATAGATAATTCAATTTATAAAGATAAAAAATCAAATGATTCAGTGAATTCGTTTTTATGTAAAAAGGTTTTAGATTTTCTAAAAGGTAATGAAAAAATAGTTTTTAATAAACCAAATAAAACTATTACAAATAAGGTAAATAAAGATATTGGTTCCTCAGAAAATATGAATGAAGAAAAGAGGGAAATAATTAATTTTGATAATAGTAAAAAAAATAAAAAATGTGGATTAAATAATAATAAATATAGCAATGATACAAATCTGGATAACAATTATCTTAGTAGTATTTATAGTGATAATACTAATATTACTAAAAATACTATCAATAATGATATTAATAATAACAATAATAATTGTAGTAATGATCATATAAGGTATAATAGTAATTTTAGTAGTTCTAGTATTTTAACCATTGAAAATTTTACCAACCAAAATAGAAATAATATATTTAATTCAATGAATTATAAGAATTCGGAAAGAAATAACTCATTTAATATGAAAATGCTAAAAGATAGCTCCATTAGCAAAAATTTTATAAATTGCTATAAAAAAGAGTTAAAAAACAACAAGGGTATATATAAAGAAATGAATAATAATAATAATAATAAAGAGAGTGAATTAAAAAATTATAATTGTTCCTTAGATAATATGCCATTCAATAATAATGAAATAAATTTTATTAGTAATGAGGATTTAAGCAGTTTTGATGTTATATATGACAAAAATGCTAACAACGTTACAGGTTTTTGTTTTAATGATATTATTGTCAAAGATATAGAAGAAAAAAAAATGAATAAATTATTCTTTGAAGACATTTGTGTATATAGATTAAATGAGGAAAATGATATTTATAACTACAAAAACCAACCAGTAGATTTATTTTATGATAGATCATTAAGTGACATAGATTTAACAAAGCTAGAGATAAACAAAAAATATTATAAAAATATAAATGAAGAAGTAAAAAATCTTATTAAAAAGGAAGATACATATGAAATTGAAATGAATGTTGGACTTGTTTTTAGAAAATTTATCCCTGTGACTATGAATTTATCTTGTAATTATTTACTTATTAAAAAAAATGAAAAAAATATAATAACGTGTATATCTTACAGTAATATACTTGGAATAAATATAGTCAAAAAAAATGAAGGAAGAAAAATTTTTTTATTTAAAATAGTATATGTTTTTAAAAAAAAGAAACAATCTGAAAAAAATGTTACATTATTATTTAGAACAAATAAAATAGAAGTATATGAAAAAATTAAAGGAAAAGTAGAACCTATTTTAATAAAAGAATCAAAAAATAAAGAATACTTAGATATAGAGACTGTTTATGATTATATTATTGAAAAATACAAAAAGATGCATATTTTATATCTAAGGCATCTCTTGCTAAATGTAGAAAAAATATTGAGAAAGTTTATCTTCAAACGTTTTTTCCATAAATTAAAATTAAAACATACTTATCTAAAAAAAATGGAAGATATAAAAAGACAAAAATCAAAATTAATACAAGATATAGTAATTAAATTAGAATTTCTATTAAGAAAAAAATTACAAAATTATTTTAATTCATTATTAATTAACAGTTATGAAAGGAGTTTCATTAATTATCAAGTTAAAACAAACAATATTTTATTTAATATGCTTATTAAGGAAAAAAGTGCTTATCAAGAATATATGGAAAAACAAAGTACTTATTTGATATTTAATGTGTTATATAGTTTATATAAAAAAAAAATGACAAGTTATTTTAATTGCTTCATAAATAATAATCGTATTTTGTGTAAAAGAAAAAATGCACTTTCTTATACTATTACACATTTAAACAGTATTTTTTTAGAATATGATAGAAGAATAAAATATTTTGTATTATCAAAACTAAGATTTAATTATGATCATATTTCTTATTTTTCTTTTATTATGTATAAATTATATCTGAAAAGGATAATTCTTGGTTATTTACGTATAAGAGATAATCGGTTAAATGTAAAATTTTTGATTGAAAAAAATGTATATAATTTGATTAAAGTTATTACAAGAATAATAGAAAATCAAAAATATTATGCTTTTTTAAAATTACAAAAATATATTTTTCAGGAAAAAGAGAAAACAAATAAAATTGTATGTGATAATCTAATATACGCAAATAATGAATTATGTAATAATTTGGATAATATAGCAATTGAGAAAGGAGTAAATAAAATAGAATGTGTATATAAATTCAAAATTAAAGAAAGTTTAGTAAAATATTTTTATAAATTAAAGGGACCACAAATAAATAGTGAAAATTTTAATCATTGTTTAAAATATTGTGGTATATTTATATTTATTTTAAGTAAAATTATTCAAAGAAAAATTCAAAATGTCTTTTATTTTTTTGTATTAAAATGTTATCAAGATAATAACAGGAGTAGACTTATTTATTCAATGAATATGTTAGAATTATTACTAATTAAAAAAAATAAAAGACATATAATAGATTTATTAAAATTTTACGATAAATACCCTTATCTGTTTAAATATAGACATTTAAGCAAAATAGAAGTTTTTATTATTAGTATTGAAAATTTTATTTTTTTTTGTAACAAAAAATTGTTATTAAATTTTTTATTAAAATTACACTATTTAAAATATCAAGGAAGAGTTATTAAGGCCTATATATGTATTGGAAATATTTATAAGTTTATAGACATAATATATCGCAAAATTCAATCACAAGTATATGAACCTTTTCGATTATTATTACAAAATTCTAAAGAAAAAAATCGTCAAATGATAAAGGAAAAATTAAATGTCAAAAAAACTCAATTAAAAATAACCAATAGCAAAATACTTCCTATACTAAGTTTTAAAAATGAAAATATATCATCAAACCATCTACATTTTAAGAAAAAATATCCTCTTTTTTTTTATAATTCAGACATATCTCCAGATTGTACAACTATAGCAGGTACAATTTATTAAATATAAAAAATAATATATTTTTATAAAATAAATTTTCATTTTTTTAATTCCACATATATTTAATCTATTTATTTGCTTATAAATATATAAATATATATATATATATATATATATATATATATATATATATATATATATATATATATATATATATATATATTACTAAAACATCTTTAATTCTTTTTATTTCTATAAATTTTTTTTTTCTTTTTTTTATGCAGATGACAAATTATCACTAAATTCAAATGATTCAATTTCTAATATCTTTTCATATGCATATGAAGGTAATACACATATATTTTCATGTACTTATTTCATTTTTTTTTTTTATACATGTAGCATATTTCACATAAAATATATAAACTATTATTTTTATTTTTTACTTTTAATAGATATGGATCAAATTAAAAGGAAAATTTATGACTTCAATACAAAAATTGGTCATGTTAATTTATAGACGAAAAAAAAAAAAAAAAAAAAAAA